CCTAAAACTTGTTTGCTCTATATGAAGTGTCCCGCGGTTCCTCGAGTGCCAACTGCTGAGAGGAATGTCATCAACTTGGGAGCTATCGGTCACTAACCACTCGTTCGCCGAACCATGAGATCACCATATATGGTCAACATAAATGGTGTGCAAGCGACTTGGCCGGTGAGCCAGGTCGCGGCCAAGGCCGCACGATCCACGTGTAATTTTAGTGCAAAAAAATATGATGTAATTACGTTTTACGATGAACAAAATACAAATAAATACCAACAAACTTTATATGTATTTAGTATTTACACATGACAATATTAAAGCTAAAACAACAATAAATAACGATTTATTTTGTGACAAATATGTATATTATATATCTAATAAAAATAAAATCGAACAAATTGTATGAAAATGTAACGTACTTTGTCTTGATTCTTATTTTGGATAACGTACTTTGAAAACATTCGTTTTGATACCTAAAATATGAAGTTTCAAACATTTAAATATATGGATAACCGGTTTAACTTTTAAGCATTAATCGGTTACCATTGCTGATACAACATTCAACACAGTGACATGAATTTTTGAAATCTAAATCAGTTGTAACTTTATTTATTTTATTAGAATTTATATATAATTAATTATGTGAAATATATAATTTACATATAATTATAATATATAAAATCCTAATAAAAATAAATAAATTTCAAAATAATTTTAACTTTAAAAAATCAATTTCATCAGCCACTTCAGCAAATAATATTGAGTTGAATGCATTCGTCATATCAGTATTGGTAACCAGTTAATGCTTAAATCAATTACTGAGGTACTTAAATATTTGAAATTTTACATTTTAGACAACAAAACGAAAGTTCTAGAAATCAAGACAATGTATGATACTTTTTTTATTAACCTGGATATCCAACCCGCTATGCGAACCGTCTAATCACAGAACGACCACTTGTTTTGTAGATAGCCCTGCTTTGTAGATAGCCCGGAGTCACCGCATTTGAACCTCCGTGGCCACAAGGGAATTTTTATTCCTCCTTAGATTTGAACATGTGACCTCTTGATACTTTTGACCTTTGGAGTCTGTTCAAATCAATCAGACACCACCCTTATGGTTAGTACGATACTTTTTAATGCAATATTTATTTTGTATTATTTAAAAATCATACACCATATAAATATAATCCAAATCTAGACCCATGAAAAGAAAGTAGATAGGAGACAACATTTATCCAATTTATGAGATGCCCATTTTCTACATTTATTGCTACTTATCCACTTCAGTATTATTCCATTATACATAAATAAATTAAAATATGACTTTTTTTTAAAAAAGTTATGCAAATTTAATAATAATTTAGTAAAAATTAATAGACAATATTATTATTGTAATATTTAGGGGTTGTTTGACAATTGTTGAATGAGTTAGTGTACAATGATTAAATGATCATGATGATTAAGAGGCACTTATAATATAGTGCAAACTGAATTATAATTGTTTGATAATTATTCAAAATGAAATTAGAGTGTTGAATGGTTAAGGAAGACTCAATATACAAAATTATTTAGAGGGTTTTAGAACCATTAAGAGACAATTTTTTTTTGTCAAACAAGATTCACCTCTTAGCAATTCAGAGGCTGACTCTTGATGGAACTATTAAGAGGTAAACAAACACCTCTTTTATGGTGCAAGGGCTTAAGAACATCAACAACTATGTTAAAATGAAGAAAAATGAGATTTTAGCATTTTTGTTGTTCCAACAGCTGTGTTATTCTCAATGCTAAAATAGAGAAAAGGAGAGACAAATTGTAAAACTCTCTAAATTTAGAGAAATCTCTAAAACTTTACAGAAGAGAGAGAAACAATATTTTAATCACATCCAACCTATTAAACTTACTGAAATTAAACGTGTAAGAGAAAGAAATAATATTTTATTAAATGTATTGAATATTTATATTAATATAATTGATGCTAGAATTGCTAAAATAGAATAGTTGTTGGAGTTGGATGTATATTTTTTAGAGATTTTGACTTTTCATACTATATTATATAAACTTTTTAACATAATTGTTGAAGATGCTCTAATAATTTGAGAACTTTATATATTATGATAAATGTGAAAATTATTATCGTAAATTATTGTTTCACATGATTTTTTTTTTCATCTAAGACTATAATTCAATATATTAATTAACATATATTTGTTTCATATGTAGTCGGTTCATAATTTCTCAAAAAATTTAATTGTATTTTTTGTTTCATAAACAATAAAAGGTGTTTACATTGCGGAAACATATATATATATACTAGAAGAGTACTCGCGCAATGCAGCGAGATACATCGTGTTTTTAATATTTCATTTTATTCTTTATCTCAGTCGATGTTATAATATGACTTTATGTGATTTTGAGAAAGCAATGATGTTTTTCTTTTTGAATAAAATATATGTTTGACGATATCATAAAAATTTGACAAAAATATATCGATATTAGTATCAAATTAACTATTTGAAATTCCTCATTTTTTTGTGTAATTTTTAATCCAATTTTT